TTTTATATAAAATATATATATATATATATATATATATATATATATATATATATATATATATATATATATATATCAATATGAAATAAATATATTTGTGTATTAATTTTTAATTTATTGTTTAAACAAATTTTGAAATTTTTTTACTGATTTTTACAGGAAAAAGATGAACAATATAATATAATGTTAATAATAAAATAATAATAATCTTAATTGTATTTTACGAAATTGCTGGGCGTCATTCTAGTGAAGGGAAAAGGAGAGTACTTCTCGGATTGTAATATCGGATTGTAATACATTATATTATAGGAGTTAATATTCGATAAAGCCTGCACACAAGAGTACTGGAACAGGCAAAGTGCCAATTACTGGATGTTTTATCTCATGAGTTGAATGATAAACCTTTCGAGTAGAGTAAAATGTTCAATATCGAATATTTAATAAAATAAGAAATAATTAATAAATTCCTATATTTCCTTAATATTTGACAGAATCCGCGCAAGAGAGTGTCGAAAACTAACGAACACCGCAACGAGTGTCAACTATGTTTTCCCCTGTACGATTCTTGACGAGCGTCTCATTGGGAAGAGTGATAATAAATCGTACCTAGTGAGACTTCAAAGGGACCTAATAGCCGTAATTATGACAAATTTGTTCGCACAAACGACCGAGTGATTTGTAACAGTATGCTAAAAGGTAATGCTCAGGTGCGAGACGGTAATAACTGCATTTTGTCGTGATCAAACCGACGAGGGAGCGCGGAATACCAATCGTAATTACGGATAATTGCTCTTATCGTGCGGAGGGTAGCCGCGAATTCTCGTTGTCTTTTCGTGCATGCGAACACTCGAGGATACTTCACCTCAGCCGCTATACTGGCGTACGGGATCTGTGTGAAATTGTATTCCCATCGGCTACAATCCACCGTCTTGTTTGTCTTCCATTCGATTGAGCGAATATCCACCTTGTGGCTCAGGATAGCGGAGAAATCCAGGTCCTTCCGATGACACTGATCGTAATACGGATAATTCTGGGATTTCGGTATGCCGACTTCGACTCTGTGAGGATACGATGAGGAAATTAACAAAAAGGAAGAAACACACAAGCAAGAGAAGACACAGGGAAGAAGGAAAAGAAATTCGTGAGGAAATTAACAAATAGATAAAAAGATGCATAGAAAAGGGAAGATATAGAGAAAAAGGGAAAGAAATTCGTGAAGAAATTAAAAGAAAGCAAAAGAATGTACAGGAAAAAGAAGATAAGCAAGAAAGAAAAGAGGTACATGAGGAAATTAAATACGCACAGAAAAGAAATGACGTAGTGAAGAAAGAAAAGAAAATTATGAGGGAATTAACGAACAGATAAAAAGACGCGCAGAAAAGAGAAGATATAGAGAAGAAGGGAGAGAAATTCGTGAGGAAATTAAGAGAAAGAAAAAAATGCACAGGGAAAGAAGATACAAGAAATAAAAGAAATACGTGAGGAAATTAAATAACAGACGAAAGAAAAGAAGAAAAGAGAAGATATAGAGAAAAAAAATTTTACGTAAAAGATTAGAATCTTTACGATTAACAATCTACCTTCCTTCCTGCGTGAAATTCGGTGAAACTAGCTCATCTATCCTGCACCAGTGTTCTTGTGGCACCAGGGTGAGGAAGAACTGCGAGAAGTACAGAACAGCGTACGCCACGCTGTAAGGGAACAGGGCCAAGAGGAGCAGCCATTGGTATCTGCCAAAGTCACCGACGTAAGGCAGGATATCGTCGAAGGTCTCCAACTTGGTCCTCAACGTAGTCGTCTCGTTGGGGATGTCTATGGAATTCTTCACGCCGTTCTTCATAGTTCTGAGAAGAAGTGTCGTTATTCAGCGCGTTAATTTTATCCTCGCGAAGCCGGATCTCAAAGTGGACGAAGTCACTTTTGTCATCAACGGAGCGAAGAGACTGATCTTGTCAACAGAAGAAAAAGAAGTTATGTGACGAACATCGAGCGAAATTGGAGCTGATACCGATTCTTTTCCTGTTATTCGACCGATAGCGCGATCTTTCTTTCTCGTTTTCTTTTTTTATCCACTGATACAATGCTCGCTCGTGTTATGCGCGATACACAGCTAATCGTGGCGCCGGAGTCGAGATGAGCAAACCGTCGATGTGAAAATTAACGGATTCAGCTGACGCGCGTGACGATCGACTAATGTTGCTGCGCGAAGCCCATGTAATTTGAGTTTCCTCTTGGGTGTGTCAAACGGCATCTTAAGTGGAAGCGATCCGAGCAGCTGGTGTCGTCCGAACGTGATGGGATCAAGTGCCTCGTGACACGCGCCTCGATCGAGACAATTATGAAGATCAAACGCGAGTTTGACGACCCGACGTACTATTAGCGATATTGAGCGCGGCGTAGAGTTTTTGCACGCCGCCCATCCGCCAATTTAATATCTAAATGACCTTGCGCGGCACTCCGCGATTTCTCTATATGGGTCTATTAACAATATCGCCGTGTTTTATCGGTTTCCGCTCGGAAACCCTTTCGGGACAAATTGCTAGTGGATTATGTAATATCAAAATGCAATATATTAAATTGTAAAATGCGATATATTAGCTCTTTCAAGGTCCGGTGTACACAATCATATACACTTTGAGTCCTCTCCAAATTTTGGAGAGGAATATTGTCAAAGCAATGATTCGGTCATTGTAATATACTATCGATCAATGTTTTTCTTATTTTTCGTATTTCTCGTGTGTACAACTTGTGAAATAGTAATTTTCTCCTTGAAAATATAGTGATCGTCCACAGAGCAGAATCATTAAAGCTCGAAATTGTGTAAAATTTTCCCTGAAAAAAAGTGAGCAAATTTTATTTCCTCCATTTTTCATCGATGTCACTTTAAAGTACACATAAATTCTTATGTGTTCGTTACTATGGTTATAATATTTATTAAATTATGTAGCTGGAGCGCACACATGAGCAAACATGAGTGTACATTGTACGTAATTATGTACATTCTGTTGCAAAATAGTTTTCACATTTTTTTTTTCCAATGAAGCTGCAACGCTCAAGTTGTCATAATTGATTGTCATAATTGCGAGTCATTGGTCAATTTACGCAGTAATTAACTATGTCTTTTGTTACTGGCCAATTACTGTACAAATTTGTCAACAGTGTTTCGCAATTGTGGCAATCTTGAGCATTGCAATTTCATTGGAAAAAAGTGTGAAAATTCAAAATAATATTCTATTATTGACATATAAAAAAAGTTTAGTTATTAAGTTAACATTAATATAACATATTAAAATATCACGAAAATAATAATATATCGGTAATATGTTAATTTTACATTAAAATAACAAAATATTAAGTAACACATATGAAAACCATTTTGCGACTAAGTGTAAGTATATTCAGAAAATCGTACTTCTCGACAGGCAATTTTATTCGAGCTACTAAACTCTTCATCATCTCTTAAAACTATCTTATGAAGGAAGAACTTGTGTTCAAACGAAGAAATCGATGTCTGGATCTTAACTTTTTAACGTCCAGTGTATATAATTATGTATATTCATTTTGGATACTTTTGAAATTTTTTATATTGCCAAAGTGATGATTCCGTCGATATAACACATCGATTCATTTTAAATGGAGTTATATTCTTTGCTCCGACCCGTGAAATGATGATTTTTCCGCTGAAGAAACCAATATGACGATTGTATGCAGAGCATAATCGTTGACGCTCGAAATCGTGCAAAGTTCTTCACGAAAAAAGTCAGCAAATTTCATTTTCTCCATTCTTTTATCGATGTCATCTTAAAGTACAAAGTTGGCGCTTTCATATCATGATTATAAGATTTATTAAACTGGAACACACGTGCAAATATGAATGTACATTACTTCGCTTATTTTCTAAATTTGGATCACATCTTTCTTGTACTTGGTTGCATTATCCTTCCAAATAGATAGTTCCTTCTATTTGATTCTAAATGTAAGAAAGACGTGATCCAAATTTGATAAAAACAAACGAAGTATAGGACAACACCGTGAAAGCCTAAAATCATGAAAGTATAATACATTGCAAAGTAGAAGACTAATCTTTGATAGTTGTGTTTAAGATTATTAACTGTCATATTGATTGCTCAGAAATTTTGGAACTCATTAATTGCAATGTTCTTATTAGAAACTTAAGACAATACTCCATATTTCGTGTCGAACAACATCGTGTTCTTTATAATAATAATTCTTAAGTTTCTAGACTGACTATCGCTTTGAGTAAAATTTCTCTCCCTGTTTCTCCCTGTCTTTCTCTGGCTTACCCTGTCTCTCCCCATCTCCCTCCGTCTCTTTCTGTCTCTCTCTCTCTCTCTCTCTCTCTCTCTCTCTC